AAATCTTCACAATTTAACATATGCTCTGAAGGAAGCATTGTTATGCATCTTAACTCTAAAATTTTAACACTTAGAAATAAAATTGGATAGATTACATCATTCCAAATTTAAAATATTTTAAGCATCAAAAACTGTTTCATCTCTAAAATAGAATTCTTGCATTTTTTGATGTGATATTTGTATATATTGAGAAGTGATCATCACAATAAATCTAGTCAAAATCTGTCCCCATTCATGTTACAAAATTTTTATTCTTGTAATAACTTTTAAGATCTACCCTCTTAGCAACTTTCAAATATGCAACGCAGTATTAATTTCCTGCATTTTTGGCTCATTATCTTGACTCTCTATACACCTTCCCTTTCATTTTGTTTCAAGTCTTTATTGCTTTTCCCTTTCTAAAGAATAAGAGCCCCCTGGAGGCACAAATGTCCAAAATCACACACTTGGTTCTAATTACTAAAACAGATGCTATTAAAGCAAAAAGCAACTGCAATAATAAGTGAATTTAGAGACGGAAGGAGGAAAGAGAGAGGGAGAGAGAAATAAAGACCAATACTTTTGCTAATACAACCTAGAAAATCTCCTAAAGCCAAAGACATCTAGAGGGAGGTCTGATAAGGAGAAATAGCTCCATTTCCAAAGTAGGGATTTAAGCTAATATCCTTAAACTTATCAACTGATGATTTAATCTCGTAAACGGTACAAAAGCTCTTTTTCATTTTTCCTGGGAAAATTGTTTTGGAAGCCAAGATTCATTTTCCAGGTCATATGTTCTTTCTATCAAGATGAAAAGATACAAGATGCTTCGTCTAAACTCTTATATATGTTTCTAAATCCATGGTATAGGCCTCTTGTGCACATGTACGTGCTAAATTGCTTCAGTCGTGTCCGACTCTGCGACCCTATAGACTGTAGCCCGCCAGGCTGCTCTGTTCATGGGATTCTCCAGGCAAGAATACTGGAGTGGGTTGCCATTTCCTTCTCCAGGGGATCTCCCTGACCCAGGGATCGAACCCGCGTCTCTTACGTCTCCTGCACTGGCAGGCAGGTTCTTTACCACCAGCACCACCTGGGAAGCCCAAAAGCCTCTTACTGGGAACAAAAATTCCCCCAAACCTTCATTTAAAAGACACCAGCCATTGTTCTATGTAACACCGAACATTATAAAACCACATTGCAAAATGTACACTTAACATGGACAATTAAAACCAGTGCAGATTCTCTAAAGACTGGAGAAGAATAGCTGAGGGCATCTACATTTTCTTAGCACTTTAAAAATGTGACTTGTTTCCGTGTTCAACATGTGTTGGTTATTTTCACCCCCACAGATGAAACTATTGTTGAAAACTATTTGTGGGGACTTCCCCAGTGGTCCAGTGGTTAAGACTTTGCTTTCCAAAGCAGCAGGTACAGCCCCTGGTCGGAGAGCTAAGATCCTACAAGCCTCACAGCCAAAACACTAAAAAAACTCAAAACAGAAGCAGTATCATAACAAATTCAGCAAATACTTTAAAAATGGCCCACATCAACAGCAAATCTTTTAAAGAGATTCTTGAAAATATGGGGAAAAAAATCTTTAAAAAAAAAAAAAGGGGAAAACTATGAATTTCTACAAAGGCAAAAACACTGATAATTCGACTTTTTAATAATGGTTGCTTTCCTGTAAAACATGGACATGCTGATTCAGTCTCTTGTGTTTTCATGTTTCCATGAGTGAAATAACCTGAAGAGACGATGGTCCCCTTTCTCTTGAGGGAAAACTGCTAAATTTAAAGATTTTCAAAAAATAAATTGAGAGCAGGAGCTAGGATTTTTATAAGCTAATAAGAGCCGCACAGAAAATAAGCAAGTAACATTTCATAAAAGCCTTTAATTGAAAATGATTCATGAAAAGTTTAACATGAGGCCTGTTTCTTAGTGGGTTTTAAAATAGTACAGAGACATCTATTTTGTAACTTCCATCATTCATTCACCAATATTTATTAAGTGTCTCATCTCTCAGACCTAGTTATTGGGGATTGAAAAAAATAAACTAGTAAGACATAGCCCATAGCCTTGATGGTTTTGCAATCTAGTATATACTGATTAAAATAAACCCTTTATTATTAATGTTCACATGTATGGCATGCTTTTTCAGGCTAGCTTTTTCCTTTGGTGCCTGGTAAAGAATCTGCCTGCAATGAAGGAGACCTGGGTTCAATCCCTGGGTCAGGAAGATTCCCTGGAGAAGGGAACAGCAACCCCACTCCAGTATTCTTGCCTGGAGAATTCCATGGACAGAGGAGCCTGGTGGGCTACACAGTCCATGGGATCACAAAGAGTCGGACACGACTGAGCGACTAACACTTTCACTTTTTCCATACAACAAGCATTCACTAAACATCCATTGACTGCATTTTACCCTGGCTTCCCCATTTCATGGTCACTGGAAAGGCCTGAACAAACTTAAAGATAAAATCAAAACCATAAAAATAAATCTTAATATGAACCCACATGTTGCAGAAAGCTAATGGGGCCAAAGAAAGTTACATGACTTGCCCAAAGTCAAGAGCAGAACTGGGACAAGAATCTAGGACTCCGGGCTTCCAGCTAATTATCATTTAAATCTTTGAAAACTTAAGCCCCCTCCACTTTCTTCTCTGTGGAATTGACTCCTTCATTTCACCTGCTCTTTTAACTTAGACTCACACATCTCTCTTCTGACCCTGTAACCATCTGAGCAGCATCTTCTAAGCCCTCACACAAGTTTGTAGTGTCTCCTTAGCTGCGAACACCACATGAGCTATAATTCTAACGTGACGCTTCGTATGGACTTTGAAATGAACTGGAGCTCCCAGGAGGAAGACAGAGCTCTGGTCATGAATCTCAAACTTGATCCCATCCACCCCGTTTCAGAGCAGCCCAGCACGTGTTCCTGCAGAGGTGAATGGATCCCAAGGGGAGGCAGAATCAGTCACTCCTCCAGCCGTGTCCCAGCCAGCCCAGCTGCCCACAGCATCACCCTACACTCATGTGCTCACCCCACTGAGACCACGCTCAGAGTGAAACCAAAAAGAGCCTGTCTTCACAAAAAACTAACATGAAAAGGTCACAATTCTGACAGCATGCCTCCTTGGTCAACCCCATGGATTATACAGACCATGGAATTCTCCAGGCCAGAATACTGGAGTGGGTTGCCATACCCTTCTCCAGGGGATCTTCTCAACCCAGGAATTGAACTCAGGTCTCACACATTGCAGGCGAGTTCTTTACCAGCTGAGCCACCAGAGAAGCCCTAGTTTATCACACTTTTATCCTAAAATCTTGTAGTAATGCAAAATGCTTTAAGTTATTTTTATACCATCTCTCACCTGGTAATGCAAGGTAAGTAAGCTGGAGCTCCCAGGAGGAAGACAGAGCTCTGGCCATGAATCTGAAACTTGATCCCATGAAACTATTAATAATTTGGTACATACTGTTTATTGGTAAAATTGTGTGAAAACATCTTTTTGAAAAAGTGATCTGTGACTAAAGACTAATCTGTGATTAAAGTAATAAATGTGAACAAGAGTTGGAGACACACGAATAAGAGAGATCACAAGTAGGTGATAAAAATGTTAATCAAGCACTTTTAGCTGGAACACAGGATGGCAAAATTTACTTTTCTCAATAAGAACACTCATGAAATATTTTCTCTGGAAACATGTATCCTTATAGCACAACTGTCGGGAGCCACTGGGATTCGCCCAGTCCATGACAAGGTCACGGGACAAGAGAGGAATCTGCAAGGCAGCTCTTCCCCTCGAGGTTGTCCCGGGGGCCCGGTATGTCTCTTTCCTCTTTCTGTCTTACTATTGTTGGGCTTTCTATTAATTTTTGGAAATGTAATATATAGTAATAAGGCCTCCCTGGAAAAGTCCAAGCCTTTTTGGAAATGCTCATGATTGCTCTGGCTCAGGACATGACCATAAACATCAAGTCAAAAAAGAAAAGGCCACAGGCATAGTTTGGCTGCTTGCTTAAAATATTATAATATTCTAGAATAGAAAAGAATAGGGGCATTTAGATTTAGAAGTAGATGTACTGCTTCAGTTTACTTGCTCCTTGATTGAGAGGGTTTTCATTATTGCTATTTCCTTGCTGCTATTTTTCCATTGTTTCCCTTTCTTGAAACAACATGGAAGATTATCGGTATTTTTGTAGAGTTAGGAAATGGGATACATAGGATTTCAATAGAAGATTTATATTAACCAGCTTCACTGCCATTCCCTCACTATTAATAGAGGTGTTTTGCTGCTTTAGAGGTGTTTTGCTGCTTCATAGTTAATCATTGTAAACTTTGTAATTTTAGGTAAAGAAAATATCAGGGTTTTCACATGGTACTATTCTCAGAAATATCAAACATGTTTTCGTAGTAGCCCTTCCCATGTATTGTTTTATTGTCTAAAGAATTCATACTATACCTGAAATCTGTAGAACATTGTTTTTGTTAGAGTGAAAATGTTAGGCCATTGAGGCAAGAAGACTATGTACAGGACATTTAAGAAAAAACGCTGTAATCGGAAACGTTCTAGATGAATACCTAGGGGGAAAACATGGGAAAGAAAAAGATTGACAGGAGCAGGAAACCAATATCTGATGTAATATGTGGTGACTTAAGGGGGAGGCAACGCTCATTCTATAAAAACTGAGCTGTCCTAAAAATAAAGAAGCTACCTCTTCTACGCAACCTTCTGTGTGTGTCTGTCTTCTTCCTCGCCGACGCCACTCATCCCTTGGGTGTTCCTGGACCCGCTGGGGCTGGACCCCGGCACACAATTGCTAATTACAACTAAAAATTAAGCATGAAAAACACCAGCATCTCTCATACACAGAAAGTCTTCTTTGAAAACTCTCATATATGACAATATTCTATGAGTCCAGGAAAACAAACGGATCTACTTACAAATTAAAATTGTATCACAGCCTTAAGATAATGATCATCAGTAATAACAATATAATAATAATAACAAACTTACCACTGTTTGGGATTGTTTGTGGTGAACTCTTTAACTTGGCATTTTGTTTCTCTTTCGTGGGTTTTTCTGAATTGGCATCTTTTCTCCCTTTCCTCTTTGGAGGCTGAGGAGATGAGTTGTCGCTGGATCCAACTGTTGACTTAGACTGGCGATCATTTCCCTATGTGGCAAAAGATTAACTCTTACTACTGGCTGATGAACTCCGTGAGTGATAACTACAAGTCACTAACGTGGTAAGAAGGGGCAGGGGCCAGAGGCGGGTGTTCTGTGCTGATCCTACTTCTGCCCATTACCTACATTAAACTCTTCTGGGTGGCAGATGAGGGGTCTACCAGGGGAAGGAGAATAAAAATAATAGCACTTGAGGGACTTCCCTGGCAGTCCAGGGGTTACAACTTCTCCTTCCAATGCAGGGTGTGCAGATGTAATCCCTGATCAGGGAGCTAATTTCTCACGTTTTGCAGTCAAAAAAAAAAACAAAGAAAAAGAAAATCCAAAACATAAAACAGAAGCAATATTGTAACAAATGTAAAAGACTTTAAAAAATGGTCCACATCAAAAAACATTTTTAAACAAATAATAGCACTTGACAACTGTATTGATATATACCAGGTGTTGCTATGAAACTGTCTCACTCAGTCCTCATAATCTGAGAGACAGGTACTGTTATCACCCCATTGTACAGACAAGCAAATGAGGCTGGAAGGTGAAGCCTGGCCAAGGTCATACAGCCAGCAAGGAGCAGAGCCAGTCAGCTGTCTCAACCATCCTCTCCCTCCTGCACCTTTCAGAAGAATCAGCAGATAGCTATTGGGTGAGGAATGATGACAAAACCCAGTTTGATCAGCTAATCGAGAAATACCTTCTTAACAGTGAGCACACAGGTATCATCATATAAGCAGACCCGCACTGTGCTTACAGAAAACCTCCGATACTGACTCATCTGTCGGTGACTTCCACCATCTCTAGGAACCAGAAATAAGGAGCAACATAGACATGAGCAGCTCAAGACCACATACGCCCGCCACCGTTCTTGCAAGGCAGCCCCCGCTGCCCACACTGTGGTGGTTGCCTCTGATTCCCACGTGCATCTCGAAACGAAGACCTTGCATCTGCAGAGGGGGCTTCCCAGCATGACAGTGAGGTTGGGCTCAGCGGCTGCTGCGGCAGGCGCGTGTGCAGTTCCTGGGGAGCCGCATGAGAGCCACTCCAGTGGTGGCCACTGTACCCAAGGAACAGCTCTCTGTGCTGATTCTCAGCGCAAGAAATTCCCTCCTAACAAGACAGCCTCGGCCTTAGGACACTCAGGTGCGACACCTTCCCGAGTGTGTGAGGTGTAAGGCTGCAGGTAGCAGAAAGAATGCAAGTTTTAGAGACCCTGACTCAGAGTCACTGCACTGCCACCAACCATCAATGGGACCTTGGGATAACTAGTTCCTACCTTCTTGGAACCGATTTCCTTATCGATTCAGTTCAGTTCAGTTCAGTAGCTCAGTCGTGTCCGACTCTTTGTGACCCCGTGGATCCCTTATCAACTGAATGGGGTTAATGTGCCTGCTGCTAGATCTCTTACATGAAATGAATGAAATGAAATGGTAACACTTATAAAGTAACCGGTACTGTGCCTGGCAGGCTTCCCTTGTGGCTCGATGGTAAAGAATCTGCCTGCAATGCAGGAGACGTGAGTTCGATGCTTGGGTGGGGAAGATTCCCCTGGAGAAGGAAATGGCAGCCCATTCCAGAATTCTTGTTTGGGAAATCCCAGGGACAGAGAAGCCTGGCAGGCTACAGTCCGTGGTTTTGCAAAAGAGTTGAACACGACTTACCGACTAAACAAAACAAACAGTGTCTGGCATGTAGTTTTATTCAAAGACTATCAGAGGGCTTCCTCCAAGAGCAGAGAGTTAATATCTTTTTCTTAAAAATCGTATCAAATTTACACCATATTGGGTGTAATTTTATGCAACATCTGTACTATGCTAGTATCTGAAAATAAATGTAGTAATGTTAAATAAACAAATCTGCCTAGAAACCTATTATAACTGCTCATTTTAAACATTTAGATATTCAGTCATCCAGAAGTGTTTAAATAGCTTTAGCTATCACCCAATTAAGAATAGAAAATTTCACAGCCTTACAAATGAAGTTATTTATGCTATTTTGTCATAGCCTACAAGAAAATGAATTATGCATAGATTTATTAACATTATGAAAACTTGTCCAAATCTATAACATTTTTTGCATAATTTAATTTCCTATTCCAATTGCAATTCAAACATACAGTTTCCACTTAATTATTGCATTAACTGCAACCAGAGTTGGGTTTTTTCCTTTCCTTTTCTTCAGTGATTATTTCTTGCAAAGCCATAAACTGCCAGACAGGAGAAATGGCTAATATGATTACAGCAGAGATTCCAAAACCATCATATGAGAAGGAACCATCAGCCTGGTCTCACATTCTAGTCTATTTTCAAATTAGTCTGTTCGTCTCAGTACTCTTGCCTGGACAATCCCATGGATGGAGGAGCCTGGTAGGCTGCAGTCCATGGAGTCGTGAAGAGTCAGACATGACTGAGCGACTTCACTTTCACTTTTCACTTTCATGCATTGGAGAAGGAAATGGAAACCCACTCCAGTGTTCTTGCTGGAGAATCCCAGGGACGGCGGAGCCTGGTAGACTACTGTCTATGGGGTCGCACAGAGTCGGACACGACTGAAGCAACTTAGCAGCAGCTATTCATCTCAAGATTCTAAAATTTTAAAAGCCTTGAATGAGAGGAGTAACCCTTCTAGCAAGCCTTCTAGAATGTTCAGAGATGCTGTTCCACTTATCAGGACTAAAATGAAACAAAGAAAGCAAAACTCTGGATCTCATCATGAGAGGTTTTTGTTTTGTTTTGTTTTTTTAAACAGCTCTCTGGGAAAAGCCTTAGTCACAAAAGGGGTAAAACAAGGGAAAAGCAGATGCTCCACCCTGGGGAGACAGGATTCACATGATTTTAAGCATGAACTCTCTTGTTGAATATACAAGAAGTTCTGATTTACTCTGTTTCTGATAAGGACACTCAAAAGACTGATTTTGGAGCATCAAGAAAGACTAGTGGGAGGGGGGATCGGGATGGGGAATACATGTATATCCATGGCTGATTCATGCCAATGTATGACAAAAACCACTACAATACTGTGAAGTAATTAGCCTCCAACTAATAAAAATAAATTAAAAAAAAAGAAAGAAAGACTAGTTGATTCCAATAACTATATGAGGCATAGCTTTGGTAACTGACACTCATGCATTCAAATACTGATTAATGACTAATTGCCAGGCACTTGACAAGAACTAAATTAAACTTAGCTTCCCTGGTAGCTCAGGTGGTAAAAAATCTGCCTGCAATGCAGGAGACCCGGGCTCGATCCTTGGGTGGGGAAGATCCCCTGGAGAAGGGAATGGCAACCCACTCCAGTATTCTTGTCTGGAAAATTCTATAGACAGGGGAGCCTGCAGGGTTACAGCCCATGGGGTTGCAAGGAGTCAGACATGACTGAGTGACTAACACAACACAAATTAAACTTAGAAAAAAATAATTGTTTTGTAATTAGAAAACTGGAAAGAATTTAAATGTTTTCTATTTTAAAAAGAAAACACGTTGTATAGCACACGGAACTCTACTCAATATTCTGTGATAATCTAAGTGGGAAAAGGATCTGAAAAAAATGGATATATATATATATATATATATATATCACTTTGCTATACACCTGAAACTAACACTGTAAATCAACTATACTCCGATATACAATAAAAAAAGAAAACAAGATTCATCTAAACAATAAAAATGTGTATAATAAATTAATACAAATATAAATAAGTTATATAGTATAAATTGTATACCTATCTATTTACATAGTTAATTATATAAATAATACATAGACAAATTATATATAAAGAGAGAAGGGCAGAGGAATAGAAGAGGGATCTTCCTTTCTTTTTTGAGATTTCTACATATGACTCGTAAATGGATAGTCATTGCTATTTATGGGGCGTATGGAATAAGATTGTCATCTCATACTGCTACGTTAGTTGATAACATTACTGAGTACCTCTTGTGTGCTAAATACTCATAAACACAAATACTTACCAAATGCATAGAAAGGCATTTTTTCAGATAAAGGAATTAACTTTCTCAAAGTTACCCAGGTTTGATTTTTTTACTACTATTTTTCAGATAAAGGGATTAACTTTCTCAAAGTTATCCAGGCTTGATTTTTCTACTACACTGAAGCTTCCTAGTCCCCAAGGGACTAGAAACAGCTATCATATGGTTTGGTTCGCTTAAACAGTCACCTGGAAGTAAGAGATTACGATTTTATCCCAAAGTGGAAGAAATCAAGAAGCAGTCTCATTTTACAGGGCATCCCGTGCAAACACTAGACCCTGTGTGATCATTCGAGCACTGTCCTGGTTTTCCTCACACACATATCAAAATACCTGATAGAAATAGCAAACCTCTGGCTCAAACCAACGGAAAACTAAAAAGAGCCCTTCGATCACCCCCTTACTCTACTCAAATTGGGATTGTTTTAGATAATTCCCTAGGCTCTTACCAACAAGATCCAGTCAACTCAGGTTTCTGTCATTAGCATGGTAAACTCACTTTAAGCCTTCGTGAAATGTGCCAAAGACACAAAAGCCATAATGCATCACAAAATCCCTCGTAAAGTGATTTTGTGAGGGATTTGCCGCACACAGCAGGACTCACAGTGTGTGTGTTTCAGTAAAGCATCCAGGAGACCTTGTGAGCAGGGGACCACACTCAGACTCAGGCTGGTGTTTCTCTACGTATGTGCTGATGGGACGTATGAGAAACCTTTTTATCCAAACTGGACACAGGTTCCCGAAAGGCAAAATGGAGTTCTGGAAGCTTCAGAATCGACCTTTCACCATGACTTTGTGATACACGGATAATCACGTTTTCTCACCAAAACCTGAGCAATTGCCATATTTGAATCTGTAAATTGCTGATCACAAGATGTATTAGCCTCTTGGGAATTAAGGACAACTGAGGACAACGTAAGGTAGTCTTTGGATCCAACTTTCAAACACGTCCATGATTTTATGTCTCTTCCACTAGAGGGTGCTTGGACTCTGTGCTGAAACCTCACAGCTAGAGGACAGCCTCCCGCTGGTGGGTTAATTTTTCAAACTTAATAGAATTTCAGAGGATTCACTTATCTTTTCCTTTTGTTTCCCAGGCCAGAATCTCAAAGTACTTGTTTCTGTGACCCCCAGTCTGTATGAGGGGTGACTTCTGATCTTTTCCTGCTTTGCACAAGGCATTCCCTGGCTGTTTTGAAAGGGTTGCAGGATCCTTCACCAAACCCCCTCACTTTTACCCCAAACCCCATTACCCATATTTCCTACCAAAGGATGGGGCCTTGCTGACTCATCACATCTGCACAGCAGGTCTTCTCTGTGCAGCTTTCTCTCTCTCTTTTTTAAGTTCTATCAGGCCCCTACCCACACTTCCCTTCATTATGCAATACAGCCATTCCTAGAAAGCTTGCGGAGAAAAGAATTCCTAAAAATCCAACTCTGGGTCCCCTTTGATTTGCATCACGAGTTCAGGGATGCCTTCCCTTGGACTGAACAGGAAGCAGTTCCCTAAGTTGTAAGCCAGCTCACCCAGCGACCCCTTCACTCACACTCACCCCATGCAGTGTCAAGCAGTTAAGAATCTTGAAAACACATACCTTCTCCAGGGAACCAATCAATTAAAGGAAAGGAGCAAATTGATCCTTCTCTTAAAAACTGAGTCTGTGACTTTGGATGCCCAGTGTAGAATATTCTCTCCTTGTGGTTCACGGCCACTCACACATCCACTAGACAGGTTTCGTGGAAACTTACTGTGTGCCTGGCAGGTTACACCCCACTGCTGAATAAAATCTCCTACAAGAGGCCCACCCTGGCCACCCAGGGGGTACTGCACCCGCTCTAACTTTCTCCCCCTGTACATGTTTCTTCAAGTTTATCCCTGATTAATATCAACTGTGTATTTGTTTGTCTTTTTCCTCCTCCAGAATGGAGGCTTCAGACATTTACGGTTTTCTCTGGAATCTCTGCCTCCCCTTCCCCACAAGCACTAAAACCAGTTCAGTCACTCAGTCGCGTCCGACTCTTTGTGATCCCATGGACTGCAGCACGCCAGGCCTCCCTATCCATCACCAACTCCCAGAGTTTAATCAAACTCATGTCCACTGAGTCAGTGATGCCATCCGACCATCTCACCTTCTCTCGTCCCCTTCTCCTCGTGCTCGGGGCATAATCTGGACTCGATAAATGGCCACCGGGTGAATGCAGCCATCAGTGACAACATTAATGTCCCCTGCTGCCTCGGGTCCCAGTCGCCCGCATCACTCAGGACTCCAGCTGTCCCATTGCCTCCTGCTTCTATTCTAGCCCCATCCACTTCTCTGCACACACCACAGCCAGAATGATCTTTTAAAAATAGAAATCAAGTGCTATCACTCCCTTCCTCTGCCCCTCAAATGGTGTTCCAGTAAAGAATCAAATCCAAACTCCACCCATGGCCTGCACCATTGGGCCCTGCCTGCCTCTCCAGTCTCATCACAGACCACCCCAGCCTGCTTTCTGTCCCCTTTCTTTATGCCAAAAGCTCTTTCCCAAGGACCTTTGAGACTGTTTTCTCTGGTATGGAGGCTTTCTCCCCTGTCCCCACCTCGTATGGCTGGCTGCTTTAACTCATTAAAGTCTCAGTCTCAGAGCATTTTATATCAACAAGTGCCCTGCCACATTTTATTGTCCTCATGGCACTTATCACCACCTGAAATTATATATTTGCTTAGAGATTGATCGTCTGTCTACCCCCATCCTTCCACCACAGACAAAGGCACTAGAACAAAAGGTCCATGCAGTCTGAAAGCTTGTCACCAATCTATGCCAGCTGCTTGAAGGAAATTCCTAGCACTCAGTAGGTGCTTGTTAAACATGTGTTGGATGGATGGCTGGAGGACCAGATAAATGGACAGATGAATCTACAGAATGCTTCGTGAGAAAGCATTGTGAAAAAAGGGACAGACTCTGATATCCCTGTATTATTCTAAGTCAGAGCATGGCAATATAATGTTGAGTCTTTGCTTGCGTATGAGATGGAAACTCATCTCAAAACATAACTTTGAGTCCTTAAAGTTTGCATCTTAAAAGAGGCCTTTTCCTGACACATATCTAAATTCTCCTTTTACTTTTCTACATATTGTGCTATTCTTTTCTCTCATTTTAATCACACTTTGCAATTATACACTGCTTTGTGGTATCGTTTGTATAACTTTGTCTCCTTGAGTAGGACAGAGCTGAGAGAGTGTTGTGTCTTTTTGCTCAATACTATCTCCCTGGGGCTTAGTTCAAGGCCAGACACACGGAAGACATAGCCAGTCATCATTAGGTAACCCAGTATTCACAGCACAGATTCTAAAGAACTTCCATACAAGAGAGCAAGAAAGAGGTACATATATGCCTCCTGTGTAGGGATTTGAAAATTGGAAACACATTTTTAATTTAAAAAAATTAGACATTCTAAATTTCAGAAGAATAATAAGCACCTAATCCCAAAGTTCAGTCATTGTGAATGTAAAGACCTGAGTCCTGATCTTGGTTCTGACATGAACTTTCCTGTGATCTGGGTCAGTTATTCAACCACACTTGGTCTCTATCTAACCATCACCTTTCCAGCTGTACTGTAAGGGTTAATGAGTTCCTACACGCATGGTACATGGAAGAGATTCCATTCCACAAAGTCCTGAAGAAGAACAGAAGGGCAGCTTCCCAACTCTAAATTCCTGGGCTTTATTTAGCTTTACAGGCTTCCCAGGTGGCGCTAGTGTTAAAGAACCCGCCTGCCAATCCAGGAAACTAAGAGACACGGGTTCGATCCCTGTGACGGGAAGATCTCCTGCAGGAGGGCATGGCAACCCACTCCAGTATTCTTGCCTGGAGAATCCCATGAACACAGGAGCCTGACAGGCTACAGTCCATAGGGTCGCAGAGAGTCAGACACAACTGAAGTGATTTTGTATGCAAGCACACATTTAGCTTTATGATGGTTACAATATATTTTTCAGTTACTGGAATACTCTCTCTCCCCTTGCTCTCCACATCCATGAAGTTATGGGTCCTCTGTGGCTCTCACTGTGAGCTCTGCACCCAACCCTCTCTACTCCCACTTCCCCATCCTCCCACTCAACAGCGTGATGAAGCCAGCTCCTTGCGGAGCTGTGCGGGGTGCGAGGAAAGAACCTCACCATGACATGCCTCTGCTCTTTGACTATGATGTCACGTGAATGAACTTGCAAATTTTCATCTGATGTCCTCAGTCTCTGCCATTTACTACTACTTGCTGAACAGTCTGCAGCTAGATTCCGTGATGACACTGACAACTTAATGCATTAGAAATTAAGCAGGTCATTCTTTCCTCTAGCTGCCCTCTAATTAGCCATAGTACCACCATTTTCTCAGGCATCCAAGCTCAGAAACTTGCTCGAGGTCAGCACTATTTCTTCAAGCAAAAAAAAAAAAAAAAAATTCAAGAATTTCATGTGACGTTACAGAAAAGGGGGAGGGGAAGGAAATATCTAAATCATCATTAGGAGACAATATCATTGTCCACTAGCCACTTATTTTACAAGACACCAGTGTAACAGTTCTGCTTATTTAATTCAGAAAGGGAAAATGTCAGGTCAATTCTACCTCTACAGGTCAGGAAATTCAACCAAAAGAGCAGAAAGAGAAGTTTCAGCCAAGACCTGTCAAAGCAATACTCCAGCAGGACAGAAGCTCATCCCCATGAGGGGCTACAGACGAAAAATACAAACAGGTTAAGACATTACCTACTAAATGCTTGCCACGTAATGGGTATTCAATAGCTATATGCTGAATTAACAGATGAATGAATGGTGGATGAAAACGATTCTGATAAGGAGCTAAATATTTAGAGTGATTCTCAACCATTTTAAAAAATGTAACTGAGGACTGCCACTCTGTTACATACGTTTTCTTTTTAGTCTTTTGTCAGTTACAGAAAACTACACTGGCAGACCAGTGATGTGCCCTAAAACAGCATTTCTTCTCATTTATGTATTATTGCCTAGATTTCAAGCTGGTATAAATTTTATCAAGCCTATATATTAGGAAAAAGATAACCTCTTTTAGAATCCACATTTTCAAAATATCAGCTCTCCTTTAGAAACCAGGTTGTAACATTAATGTTCTAGTGTTGTTTCACATAATTGCTCACATGCCACAAGGTGGCTAAATTTTATTTCTTCGAATTTAATTGAAACCCAAAGGACAGTCTCTCTGTTATTGTACAGAAATACAGAACATTAATGAGTAAAGTATCTGATACTTACACTGCCTTTAGACTTTCTGGATCCTACAATTGGAGGTAGTGAAGAGGTTTTCTGACTGTGAAAACAAATTGCAATTTAGAAATCTGAATATTATTCACAAATAATATACAAGGCAAGATAATCATCATCTCAGTGTATCACCCCAACCTGGAACTCAACTATTTGTAGACATCAGTATTCCACAAAAAGTACCACTGACTCTCCCAGTTTCACAAAGACCACCAAAACATTTCCAAATTCCATTCCAAAAGATATGTTTTTTTTAATTGGAGTATAATTGCTTTACAATGTTGTATTAGTTTCCACTGTCCAAAAGATTCTTAATGTTTTCTTGTATAGCATTTTAGTTGATGCTTACAAATAAATTTAGTACCACTTTTAACTTTTTCATACCACTTAAAATCAAATCCCTAAATTTATAATTTGCATTTCAAAGAAAAAAAGGCATTTCCCAAGCCGCGTGACGATTTTGCCAGATTGTGTTTAAAACTAAAAATGATGAAGTTTTTTTTTATCATGTCTATCATATCTGGTAGAAACACAGAATGGTAAAACACTGGCATTTATATTCAGGGAGTTTCCAAACCAGTCACTCTCACCAAAAAATTTAAAAACTGCTCTTTGGCTCTAAGTATTTCCCAGATGTTTCTTTGCAGGAAAAGATCCAGCTCGAAACCCAACTGAACCTCTCTGACAATAAGAAGCCACGGAGGTAAAGGCAAATTTCACACCTGCCTGAGAAAGGCCACCATGAGCAAGTTTTCTCATTGCCATCAAGTACAAGCACAAGATCTCACTGCAGAATGTACTGCAACCCACAGCAGTCTACCCCAGCGTCGCTTCTCAGAGCAACCTTGTGAAGGACTTGATTTCAAGGATGGTTGGCAGTAAGTCTGGTAAATAGTTCTAAAGTGCTAGAAAGCAATGCGCTCTTTGCGATACTTCAAACACGACCCCTGAAATTCCATTCCACCTATTCCGTATTGAGAAACCCTGGGCTAGTCTCTCCATCAAGTTACACGGGATTGCAAATCAATGGAGAACACACTTATGACATTCTGCTCTATCTCTGTCACATGTCACCCATCCGACTAGGAGCAACTACACAAAGTCAGTTTTCCAGCCAAGTAGACACGGAAAAGCAGTGGCAGTGGACCGCAGGGCACCGTGAGCAAGCCCGAGGGTCCCTGCAAGCAGGGGCTGAGGCTCTTCATGCAAACGCGTGCCTGGGCAGTCCACCTGCCGGGCTGAAAGAAGGCATTCTTCACCAGTGTCCTACATCTCATAGAGCAAAAGGGTTCTCTGTGCACTGTGCGTAAGAGTAACCTTTAAAATTTTGCCTGAAATAACTATACACCCAGCGCTCCACTTATTTGTGTAAAAGAAATATCATTTCTATATTTTACCATTATTATTTTTAAGTAGGAAATATTATTTTTTAACCACCTGTAGGTGTTCTTCTACGCACCAACTAAAAAATTATTCAATCAAGTTAACGTTTTTAAGACTTCTAAAAGCCTGTGTTGCAGAGAAGCTCACTGCCCTGTACCTTTTTCACAAAAATAAATCTTTATATTTATTATAAATTCATAAGTGAGTGGCTAAAAAATACATAGTCTATCATAGATTCCTCAATATTATATTTTTATGCAATAGTTCTCAACCTCCAATCACAGCAAAATAAACAGCGATCAACATGTATCGGACATCCTTTCCTTTCTAACCGATAAACAAGATTCTAAAAAACAGACCGGGGGCCAGCATAAGATTCAATGCTATTTCAAGTGATAACTAAAATATGAGACGTGAGTGAGGATGCAAACGTACCCGTAAGACTTTCTCATCGTCGACTTGTCGAAAAGTAATTCACTGTAAGGCAACTTCTTAAACTTATCTCTGCCGACAGCCACATAAAACTGCCCATTCTCCAGCTCTGCCCCACTCTCAACCAGTTTTCCTTCTAAAGTGTAGAGTCTGCCAAAATATGAATGCCAGCAATTAAAATGTTAACAAGCATTTCAAGAACCGCTAAAATCACAGTCAATTAAAAACTCCATTCCTAAATTGGCTCATTTGATACTATGCTAAACACTGAATTATAAATGTCTCAAAGTCATGAGACTCAGCTAAATACCAATGCAGATGCAATTACGGTCTAGTTGTACAGAACCTGGCAGTCTAACATAAGGATCCCTTACTGCTGCCATATTTAGAGTTTAGAGGGAGAGAATTAACTTGTAGAGAATGTGTGTGTGTGCTCGGTCATGTCCGACTCTTTTGCAACCCCATGGACTGTAGCCTGCCAGGCTCCTCTGTCCATGAAATTCTCCAGGCAAGATACTGGAGTAGGTTGCCGTTCCAAGAATGTCATACTTTAAATGAAGCTTGGCTTCCACTGAAGTTTGATTCTTCTCTTTATATCCCGTGAGCACTTAGAAAATTTATTTTCTTAATGCACTATTCAGGTTAACATCCACGAGCAGCCCTCAGACAGAATTTTACATACAAACACACAGAACTAGGTCAGAAAACAAGAGGTGCGAGGGCAGGAGGTAAAAGAACCCATTTCCAGTATTAATGATGCAGAACTGCATAGCGTTCATGCTTCTCTTTTTCTGCCTTCCGTCATCTTCCCAGAATCAAGGGATTTCACAAGAACCTCCCTTTACTGTAAAACTGCTGCTGCAAACTACAATGTGTTACTTATTAAGAGAACAGTGATAACCTTGCTAGACGATTTAAAGTGTCCACACGGTTTGTTTAAAGAGCAAGAAAAAAACAGACGTTTTAGAAAACCACACCACAAAGAAGACAATGCATGTTTTTGAAGGTAATAAACAAGAGTTAGTAACTGGAAAGATTTTAAGAGGATCGTTTTAAAAGTTCTCAGACTTCTTATATCACAAAATTAAGTGTAGTGACATTTGCAAAGAAAAAAAAAATCCATTGATCTGTCTGCTTATTTACTGATTATGTGAAAGGCTGTATCGTATGGAGTCAAGAAGGAAAATAAAAGCAGCCACTTAACCCCCTAAAATGTGTTAGTGTTGAGTTAGTATGAAGATGCTAAAGTAACGTACTTTTAACCCTACAAGTCTAAATACCAACACTTAACCCAGATAATCTGGTTTTCCTGCCTTCCCCTAGACCAGGGCCTCTGGACATTATTGATGTTTTGGATCTGATAATTGTAGGAGAGGTGGGAGGCTGTCCTGGGACTTGTAGGATGTCAACAGCACCCTTGGCCTCTACCCACGAGATGGGAGTAGTAGCCACCTCCATTCCCTATGACTCTGGACACTGCCAGCAGCCCCTAGTGGTAATTCTGCCCCTGGGGGAGAACCTGCTGGAAACCAACCCCTAGATGGAGGCCTAGACCCAATGGTTCTCCCTCTCTCGTTTACTTCAAAATAGGAAGATCTGAATCCGTCATTAACTTTTACAGCTAGAAATTAAAAGACAGCAAAGTTGTGGATCTGGCAACAGCCAAGATTTGACTGGTTTTCTCTACAGACAGGTAAAGGACACTGAATAAATTCTAGCCTGTGAACTTAGCCTTCTTTTATGCGACTCTTGCTGACCCGCTTTCTTCCTTTGCTACAGAACATGAGAATTATAAACAGGGAGTTGAACGAATTTGTGTGGAATGTTTTTGATATGTATACCGATGCCCAGGAATGGTCCAAACATAAGAATTACTCATGTTCTGTTTAGCTCAGTTGTCAGGAATCTGCCTGCAATACAAGAGACCCAGGTTCAATTCCCAGGACAGGAAGATCCCCTGGAGAAGGAAATGGCAACCCACTCCAGTATTCTTGCCTGGAGAATCTCATGGACAGAGGAGTCTGGCAGGCTGGTCCATGGTGTTGCAAGAGTCGAAAACAATTTGGCGACTAAACCATCACCAGGTGTTTTTAAACCACCATGTTCTGTTAAGGGAGGGTGGGGGTGTCCCAAGTGAGCAACATGCAAATCTCACTCATGTCTGGCATTACACTAAGAATTAAGCTTCTCCAACATGGAACTCCACTCAATGTTATGTGGCAGCCTGGGTGGGAGGGGAGTCTGGGGAGAATGAATACATGTGTCTGCATGGCTGAGTTCCTTTACTATCACCTGAAACTATCACAATATTGCTCACTGGCTATACCCAAGTCAAAATTAAAAGTTAAAAAAAAAGAAGAAGAATTAAGCCTCTCCAAGTATTCACATGTTCAGGGGACATTTATATTCTCATTTCTGTGTTGGTCCTTGCTTATATTTTATTTCTATTTATCAATTTGTTCACATCAATATATGTATGAATAGGTGTATCTGGGCATGCAGTTGTGTTTATATATCTTTGTGTGTTTCAGAGCATTTATTGAGTGGGTTTACATCTGTGTACGTGTCAAAAGGCAAAACGATATATCTTTTTTAAAAAATCAATATATAACTATTGAGACCTGCCTTTACTCCTGATGCCAAAGTAAAATCCAAAAGGATCAAAGGTTTAAACAAAAGTTAAAAGTTGAAAGATGAAAATATGGGATAATTTTTTTTATAATCTAGGAGTGAAGAGAACCTAAGCTAATCATAGAACTTAATGATCGTAATGAAAGACTAAAAATTTGACTGCATCAAAATTTAACATAACTGCATGAGAAAAGCAACATAAAGAGCAACAAAAATATAAACTGGACAACAACCCTACAAGGTAAGAACAATTATATGCCCATTTTATAGATAGAGAAACTGAGGCACACAGAGACAAACTAGTGACCCCAAACTCAGATCTAGGTACCAGTGCCTCATGGAAATATCCTCAATAATTCTGAATCCCATCCACTTGCAAGAAGATTACTCTGACATACCTGTGGACAGCCCCACTCCTCAGAGTTATCTTTTCTGTGACCATCTGCAGTACATGATCCCACTGATTCAAGGCTTTTCTAGGAATGAGGAGTCGAGAAGCTGGGTTTATGAGGTCTCCATTTGCAATCAAGCTGAAAAAAAGGCAAAGCCAGTGAGGCAAACCATTTGACACAGTTGTGCCTTTAAAACTGCAGAAGAAGTCCCAAACCAAAAGGAAACCAACACTAATTCTGACCCAAAACATGAAGGATTCCAACTTACAAGATAGTGCAGGGTTCCAGAAGTGGTTTTCTAAAGCGAGATGACACATTGATCCTGCTGTGGGTTACTGGTTTTACCTTTAAAAATAAAGAAATACAAATCATTGTACTCATGTTAGTGTTTTTTTTCCCTATGAGGAAAAACTAGAGGTTTCCAGGGAGCTGGCTGAGAACTGCGATGCCTTTGTTAAAACCTTGCTTTTTCCCCCCCATGTATATAAACCCTCTGGGCTCACCCTCTATCAATGGCATATAGCTTTAACAGAGCTCTCAAGAAAGATTTCCTTTAAGCCCTGGCATACTGCTCAAGATCTATACCAAAAACTGAAACTGTTGAGCTATTGTGAGAATTCCAAGGCCATTTTTAAAATAGTTCCTTTCTGTCAAACAAAAGTAAGCAAATGTATAAAATTTTGAATGAAGTGCCCTCCCCCTCCAGGCACGACAGAGTGTTTGGTCATCTCTGCCCATCCACCCACCCCCTAGAGTCACTGGGTCCCCACCAGGCACTTAATCCCATCCTGTTCTCCAAAGACTGACTCCATCAACTTTTCTCAGCTTCACTTTCTCCTCCGTTCACCAGCCACACTCTAAACAGCACGTTCCCTTCCCAACCCCCCTTGCATCTGCGTGGGTCTGGTCATCTTTCTGGCCCCTTTTGTTTTCAGGGTCCAAGCTGTTGTATCGAGAACCATGTGGCCCCTCAGGCACCTTCGACTAAGACAAGGCTTTGGCATTGGTCAAGCCTCTCCTCCTACCAAATCAACTATTTCTTACATTTCCCACAGTGCATTGTCCAAATCCCCACCTTTCACCCTAAATCCTAAAATCTCACTCCAGGCACACTTATTCTCAGCACATCATCTCCTTCCAAACTTCAAGAGAATAAAGCTCAACAGGCACGAAGGATCTTAACCTCACTTCCCTCCAAGCTCACTTCATCTACATCTTCACCACTTTTCTCCTTTGCTGTCTGTTTCAGAAGGATCCTGACCCCTTTACAAAGCTAAGTCTGCGTGTCTTGATTTTGTCCCCTGCTGCCTGTTCCATTAAATACGTAAGGCCCTCCACCCCCATTGTTTTCAATTTCCCCCTTGACCCTGTGGCCCTTTCTCTCCTCTTCATCATTCCTCTTCCTATTTCCTTCCACCCCATCTTCTCCTCAGTCTTCTACTATCTGGATTCCAGTGAAAGATAAATCCCAACTCTTTATTTTTCAATTTTTTATTTTTGGCTGCCCTTGAGCTTCATTGCTTCATGCACCAGCTCTAAGGTGCGTGAACTTCAGCATTTGCAGCACACGGGCTCAGCTCATGGGCTCTAGAGCGCGGGCTCAGTAGTTGTGGCACATGGACTTAGTTGTTCTGTGGGTGTGGGATCTTTCCAGACCACGGATTGAACCTGTGTCTCCTGCTTGGAAGGCAGATCCTTGACCACTGGACCACCAGGGAAGCGCTAAGTCCCAACTCTTAAGCTTGGCCTACAAGGACCCCCATGACCAACCACTGTTACTAGCTTCCCTCACCTTCCACCAAATACTCCTTCCTCCACAACCCCTAGGTGTGACTTTAGGTCGAACCAGCCGGCCCCCAATCCATTGCCCAAACACATTCTGAATCCTCTTCCACACCTCTGCTCATCTTGCCCCTGCCTAAAATGCCCTCCCCCTTCTTCCAGCTGCTGAAATGCCACTCGCTAACCAACACCCAGCTAACCAACATCAGCAGTCCTTCTCTGTTCATCCTTCTTTAACTTCCTATCTCAAACTGCTGCAGCTACTATGGGATTGCTGATCACACTTGCTTAGAGGGCTTTTTTCCCTTTCTGATTTGAAAGGGAACTGATTAATGAAAATAGCCAACATTTACTGCACTATATTTAATGACAAGCCCTATACTAAGTAAAGGCATTATATATCATTAGAACATCAAAACTATGCCCTGAAGTAAGTACCCTATTTTACAAAGAAACTAGAGGTTAATCATTTAATTTGCCTAAAGTCACACATACTAAGGGGCAGAGTTGTCCACACCTATGAACTTCTACTTGCTTTGCACTTTTGTAGTTAAAGATAAATTAACCCTAAATAATTTATGCAACTCTCTTTTGGCAAATTATGCCATTTTGAGAAGAACAAGGGGCAAACTTCTTGACTTGCCAGTGCCTAAAACAGCACATGGCAATGCCTGCTAATTGCACAATAAATGTTTACTGAAATTTAATTTAAAAAACTAATTTAGAGTAAACATTTTTTAATCAATCATAACAATTTTCTTACATTTTTTTAAACCCAGAGATTCTTGGCCCTAAGCTAACATTTACAGTGATGTTGACTTTTCTAAGAAGTTTAACAGATAATGTATGCACCTGACCAAAATTCAAGTGGTAAAATGGAGGATACAGTGAAAAGGAGGAATATCCCCACCTCTGGTGCCCCAACCACAAAGCTGAAACTAACTTAACAATGGTCATTCAAAGACAGCCTACACCTGCATATTGTCTTATGTAGACATTTTATACATGTAATTTTTAAACACAGGGATCACTTGCTATGCCTATTCTTCCGCACCTTGCTTTTTTTCATTTAACAATTCACCACAGAAACTGTCTCACATTGGTAGAGTAAAGGTTGCTTCATTCTTTATAAAAGCTATGTATATCCATGCTGTGACTCTACCATAATTTATTTAGTCTGTCCCTCAATGACAATCCTTCCACTTGCTTCTAAACTTTCGCTCTCGCAGGGAATTTCCTGGTGGTCCAGTGGTTAAGTCTCCATGCTTCCACTGTGGGGGGCACAGGTTGGACCCCTGGCAGGGATCCTGAATGCCACATATTTGGCCAAAATAAGTAATAAACTTTTGCTGTTGCAAATGATGCCATGATAGATTTCCTCACAATAGTTATTTGCATGAATCTGTAAATGTATCTGTCAGTCGGTTCAGTCACTCAGTCGTGTCTGGCTCTTTGCAACCCCATGGACTGCAGCATACCAGGCCTCCCTATTCATCACCAACTCCCGGAGCAGGCTCAAATTCATGTCCATCAGGTTGGTGATGCCACCCAACCATCTCATCCTCTGTCGTCCCCTTCTCCTCCTGCCTTCAACCCTTCCCAGCATCAGGGTCTTTCCCAATGAGTCAGTTCTTCGCATCAGGTGGCCAAAGTACTGGAATTTCAGCTTCAGCATCAGAGCTTCCAATGAATATTCAGGATGATTTCCTTTAGGATGGACTGGTTGGATCTCCTTGCAGTCCAAGGGACTCTCAAGCGTCTTCTCCAACACCACAGTTTAAAAGCATCAATTGTTCGCTGTTCAGCTTTCTTTATGCTCCAACTCTCATATCCATACAGGACTACTGGAAAAACCATATCTTTGACTAGATGGACATTTGTTGGCAAAGTAATGTCTCTGCTTTTTAATATGCTGTTTAGGTTGGTCATAGCTCTTCTTCCACGGAGCAAGTGTCTTTTCATTTCATGGCTGCAGTCACCATCTGCAGTGATTTTGGAACCCAAGAAAATAGTCTGTCACTGTTTCCATTATTTCCCCATCTATTTGCCATGAAGTGTTGGAACCAGATGCCATGATCTTTGTTTTCTGAATGTTGAGTTTTAAGCCAGCTTTTTTACTCTCCTCTTTCACTTTCATCAAGAGGCTCGTTAGTTCTTTTTTGCTTTCTGCCATAAGGGTGGTGTCATCTGGCATATCTGATGTTATTGATATTTCTCCCAGAAATCCTGATTCCAGCTTGTGCTTCATCCAGCCCAGCATTTCGCATGATGTACTTCTAACTGTTGCTTCTTGACCTGCATACAGATTTCTCAGGAGGAAGGTAAGGTGGTCTGGTATTCCCATCTCTCAAAGAATTTTCCAGTTTGTTGTGATCCACACAGTCATTAGCTTTGGTGTAGTCAATGAAGCAGAAGTAGATGTTTTTCTGGAATTCTTGTGCTTTTTTGATGATCCAATGGATACTGACAATTTGATCTCTGGCTCCTTTGCCTTTTCTAAATCCAGCTTGAACATCTGTAAGTTTTTGGTTCACCTACTATTGAAGCCTGGTTTGGAGAATTTTAAGCACTATTTTGCTCGTGTGTGAGATGAGTGCAACTGTGCGGAAGTTTGAACATTCCTTGGCATTGCCTTTCTTTGGGATAGGAATGAAAATAGACCTTTTCCAGTCCTGTGGCCACTGCTGAGTTTTCCAAATTTGCTGGCATATTGAGTGCAATACTTTCACAGCATCATCTTTTAGGATTTGAAATAGCTCAACTGGAATTCTATCAACTCCACTAGCATTGTTTGTAGTGATGCTTCCTAAGGCCCACTTGACTTCACACTCCAGGATGTCTGGCTCTAGGTCACACCATCATGGTTATCTGGGTCATTAAAATCTTTTTTGTATAATTCTTCTGTGTATTCTTCTCATCTCTTCTTGATATCTTCTGCTTCTGTTAGGTCCATACCATTTCTGTCCTTTATTGTGCCTATCTTTGCATGAAATATTCCCTTGGTATGTCTAATTTTCTTGAAGAGATCTCTAATCTTGCCCATCCTATTGTTTGCCTCTATTTCTTTGCATTGATCGCTGAGGAAGGCTTTCTTATCTCTCCTTGCTATTCTTTGGAACTCCGCACTCAGATGGACATAGCTTTCCTTTTCTCCTTTGTCTTTTGCTTCTCTTCTTTTCTCAGTTATTTGTAAAGCCTCCTCAGACAACTATTTTGCCTTTTGCATTTCTTTTTTGGGGGATGGTTTTGATCACCGCCTCCCGTACAATGTTAACAAACTTCCATCCATAGTTCTTCAGGTACTCTGTCTATCAGATCTAATCCCTTGAATCTATTTGTCACTTCTACTGTATAATCATAAGGAATTTGATTTAGGTCATACCCGAATGGTCTAGTGGTTTTCCTTACTTTCTTTAAGTCTGAATCTTGCAATGAGTTTACCTGTAGAATATACTCCTGTATCTGTAGAATACATTATTAGAATTATTTTTATTAGAATTATCTCTAATTATCTATAATAATAATAATTATCTAATAATAATTATCTATTATTTATATTAGAA